TGATCGATTTAAATTTGTTGCACTCGCATCCGGTCGGTAACCCAGACACGATTGGCTTTATGTGGAACATAGAATTGGAATTATTCTTCTATTTTTTTTCTTAAGATTTCAATTTTATGCTCATTTATTTGATGTTGATCGTTTCAACATTAATTTCATGTACTCTTCGTCAATCTTATTTAAATTGATCATCATCAACATTCAACAAATCCATGAGAATCATCACCTACAATTGGTATTTATGATAATTGTTATCATCCATGTATTTATTCACGTTATGGTACAACTGGTTTAACAATAATACAATCGTCATCGACGATAAATTATATTTATCAACAAATATTCTCAATGCATTATGAAAAAGTTTACCAAATTTACTTTCACCATCAAATATTTATTTAAAACAAAAAAAACCAGGTCTATTTGAAATAACACCATTTAATTATAGAATCCATTGATCAACTGATGGTACACCTATTGAATGTATTCATATGACACATTTATTAACATAACGTACTTATGAAACAACAAATGCACCACCACCTAATCTTACACTTAGAACTAGTTAACATCATCTTTATTATCCAACAACATCAAATTCAACTCCACTACCACCACTTCCACCATCTATATAAATATTTAATTCAACAAATAGATTTCCATTTTCATTTTCAATACCAAATATAAATTCAACAGGAGCAACAAATAATAGAACATAAACAATTGTTTCATCATTTCCAATATCAACAACAACAATAATTGAAAATCAAATAAATAATTATTTAATTGGAACATCACCATGGTTAACACATTTACCATGAAAATTTAAAGATAAACAAAGTTTACAAAAACGATAAATTAAAATAAATTGAAAAAAAAAAGGTGCTACAACACAACACATCAATATTTAAAAAAAAGATTCAAATTTATTTACTGCTATTATAGATAGATCAACATCAAGATTAACAATAGAACAATCAACAAATATCAACATCATCAAATCCGTTTATTAACAAATAATTTAAATCATATTAACGATGAAAATCTTTAACAACAACAAATAATAACAATTTATTATATATTAACACAAATATCAAATAATATTCATCATGGAGAATATTTATCATAATGTCAATTTATAATTTGTCGTCTTACCAGGTGGTGGTAGAACATTATTTTCTTTTAGATTTTGGAGAACAACTCACATTAACTTATATATAAATACTATCGTCTCTTCAATTAGCATAATTAACGTTTACATTTTTGCTCATATGGTCAACATATTTATTGTCAACCGTGTATTTTATTCAACACATTTATAAAATCAACCATTTTTTGTTACATTATTTACAACCATCTGTTATAGGACGTTATATACCTACAAGATAACGCTCGTCGTTACGACTCGCTTGCAGTGCATACGATTAGGGGGGGGGGGGGAAGCTGGGGGATTTCCCCCCTCTAAATTTTTTCTCGCATTCAAGCTTTCTCCCTAAAAATTTTCTTTACGAGTAGTTTGAAATTTCTACTCATTAGTTTGGAGAAAAAAGTTCAGATTCAAAGCGAAAGTCGTTCAAACTCTGAGAAAAATAGGCTAGTTTCAAGGAGAAAATAGCACAGGTCCGAAGAGAAAATGAATAAATTTCAGGAGAAAATAGTTCAACCTCAGAGAAAAAACAGGCCAGTTTCAAGGAGAAAACGATCCAGCTCCAAAGAGAAAATAGACCAGTCTCAAAGAGAAAATGAATCAATTTCAAAATAAAATAGTTCAAATTCGAAGAGAAAGTAGTTCAGACTCAGAGAGAAAATAGGCTAGTTTCAAGGAGAAAATGCATCATTTTCAAAGAGAAAATGGTTCAGATCCAAAGAGAAAGCAGTTTAGACCCAAAGAGAAAATGAATCAGTTTCAAAGAGAAAATGCCCAGATGCGAAGAGAAAAAAGTGCAGACTAAGGGAGAAAATAGGCCAGTTTCAAGGAGAAAATGCATAAATTTCAAGAGAAAATAGTTAAAATTCCAAGAGAAAGTAGTTCAAACTCAGAGAGAAAATAGACCAGTTTCAAGGAGAAAACGGTCCAGGTCCAAAGAGAAAATAGACCAGTTTCAACGAGAAAACGGTCCAGGTCCAAAGAGAAAATAGTTCAAACCCAAAGAGAAAATAGGTTAAATTCGAAGAGAAAGTAGTTCAGACTCAGAGAGAAAATAGGTCAGTTTCAAGAAGAAAACGCATCAATTTCAAGAGAAAATAATTCAAACGTAGAGAGAAAATAGATCATTTTCGTTCCATAGCTATATGACCTAGCCTTTCTAATTCAGAATATGCGAGATTTTTATAGATGCTGTTCTAGTGATGTGAAATGCACATGAGCCGACTGATTTCAAAATTTTTCTTCCAGTTTACAGATTAATCTAAATATGTGAAAGACACTATTTGTACTAAGTCTCTAGTGTCTTTTAAAAAATATTTTAGTTTAATACGTCGGGTGTCCCAAAATATTTCCAACATAGTTTGTTTTCGGAATGTTCCTGCAGAGAAAATAATAAAACCTTACTTTTTTTCAAAAGGTGCTTCAGAAAAAGCTTTGGAAAAACTGTATGAACAAATCCTATTGACTTGTTCTGATGATTCTTCCGTACTCAAAATAAAAAACATGTATGATAGTGCTACTTGTTACTGTATTTAACATAATAAAAATATTTGGAATACCTTTTTCTTTTGCAATAGATATTTATTTAGACAGCTTTTGTAGAACTTTCTACGCTGTGTCTTTTGAAAACAACAAGATGCTATCGTTTTCTAAAGCTGGGATACATGCAAAGCAAAAGTCTTGGAAAAATGTTTTTCATGTTAAATTGTGTGGAAGTAGCACTATCATGTATTTTTTATTGTGATTATGAAAGAATTATCAGAACAAGTCAATAGGGATCTATTCCTACAGGCTTTATGGGAGCTTTTCACGAATCATCTTTTAAAAGAAAAATCAAGATTTTACCATTTGTCTGTATAGAGATATGTCGAAAATAAAGTATGTTGGAAAATTAGGGGATGCTCGGTGTATGCACAAAAATGACGATGCTAGTGAGGGTAAAAATAGACAAAATACTAGGCAATTTTTTGAAAGAACACTACTTTAGAAATTATCCATAGGAATTATTTTGCGCAGAAAAAATGAACTTGTTTCCCATCGATGTGACTTTTTTGCAGCAATTTATCAACACAAAAAATAGCGAAGAAAATATTGTTCAAGTTGGTAACGAGATTTTCAAAGAACACCACTGGAAATATATTTCACTATAAAAAAAAACCTATGCAAAGACCCGTTTCTCTCTACTTTTGGGAGACTTTCTCCCTTAATTTTTCCCCCATCATAGCAAAACCAAACGAAAGCTATGCACATGGCATTTCATGTTCTAATCTCTACAGACATTTTATTAAAAGCAACAGCATATGCCATAAGATGTAGCGTGAAACGCTCTACAATCTACATTGTAAAGGTTATTTCAATTGTGTACTTTTTGTTTTCAAAAAAAGCAAAATTCTGTACGATCGATTTTCGCAACCTTAAAAATTAGTCGCATAAAGTTTTGCTTTTTTTTTAAACCAAAAAATACACAATCGAAATAAGCTTTACTATCTAGATTGTAGAGCTTTTTACGCTGCATCTTGTGGTATATGTTGTTTTGTAATAAAACATATTTCGAGATTAAAATATTAGATGCGAATTGCGACCATTTATTCTGAGTCACACGTTACATTTATGAAAATCGAATCGATTCGAAAGGGTTAAGTTGTACCCAACCTGTCTATTATAAATCGATATCTTCTCACCTGTAATAACATTACATAATCGCTATGATCCATCGCAAAATTTCGCCAAATTTTCACGGCAAATTCTAGCTCGTTCTTGTTCATCATTGAGTTAAGAATACAGTTAACATGATGTAACTTTTCTCGTGTTTAGACAATGGTAGATAATTTGTCCTATAGTACCAGGAGAAATGGATAAGCTTCAGCTATAATATCATTATAAGTTGAATGTGATTTATTGTTGATAACCTGTCGTATGAGCTCAATATTTACATTTGTAAGCTTGGCAACCAGATGATCAAATCAAAGATCATTATTGACATCTTCTCTTCCTTCATGACAACACTTTGTCTACCTTGCGATTGTTGGATATGATGAAGCACTAGATTTCAATACTGTTATATATTCTTCGTGAAAGTTTTATTTTGGTAGGAATTGGATTACATCTGAAAGAATATCAAAACTAAGCTCAAAAAACGATTTATTATATACATATATGTTATTATAGACAAGAGATTTTACTATTTATTCATATAACAAACTGTTTAATATTAGCTAGTTGATTAATTGACAGCAATGCGATCAGAACTTTTGGTCAGATCTACGTAAGTTGTCATCGATATAGTGATTTCTTTAGTTATCAGTATTTTAGTTTCTATGGGGTCGACGGTGTGGCTTCCCTGGGAAGATCAGGTTGATTCTCTTGGAGTTTGTGGTTACTGTGTACTACATACCATGTATCGATGTCCTCAAAAAATAACTGTTCGTCCTTTCAAAGTTTTAAATCACTCCGTCGAAAGCGTGATACTAATATAGAAATCTTTTATTTTTATATTTAACTATAGATATATGTTAATTTTCGTTCAAAACTATGTTAAGAAAGTGATGATATAAAAAATAAGGATGATAAATGACTTTTAGAAATAAATAATGTTGTTACGAAGATTCTTAGATTATTCTATAAGTATTATTGTCAATTACGGTTTAGAACGGAGAGCATTTTCATTCATTTTCCTATGTAAGAACTATTATCTTTACAAATCAATTTTGTTCATGATTCAATTTACTGATATACTTTTGTCTTAACTTATGCATATCGCGAAAATAAATAATATAAATGAAAAATTTTTTTACAGTAATTTAGAAAAAAAAAATTCTTTTTCCTTGACAACATTTAATTCTACCCTTTATTAATGTCATACATTGAAATAGAACATAATGAACACACTGGATGGTTTTGTAATAATGATCTTATTCTTATTTGTGATCAAGAAACATTCATTAATGATAGAAATAGTCCATTTATGGACGATAATAAACTTCAATCAATATATTCAACACATATAACTCGAAAATGTCGTCGTCATATTCCAAAACTTGATTTTAATGATAAAAAATTATTTCCATATATATCAAATAAAACTATACGTACAACAATAACAAATATATCTTCAAATGAAATAAATATTGATGAAGAACTTCTATCAGAATTAAATTCAATGTTAGATTGTCGTGAATATGTTAGTAAACAAAATCATTTTTTTGATCGAAAACAATTTCAACAAGCTCAAGCAGCACAAGCTGATGAAGAAAAAAAATTAGAAGAATTTAAAAAACGTCAACAAGAACAAAATAAAATTGAAAGACAACAACGAAGACGACAACATCCATTATATGTTAGTCGATTTGATGAAAAACGTTATGTACCATCAATAAGAAAAAAATTATATAAATTTGATAATTAAAAAATTATATTTGTTTATAAATTTTTCATAATTTATCAATTTCAAAAGAACAAATATTAAAAAAAAGAATTTAATTTATTTCATAAGCATACTAAATTTATCATTAAGATATTCTCTAAAAACGAATAAAATTCCAATCAAATAATTTTAGATCTTGATTGTAAAAATAGGCATGTACCGAGCGAGCTTTTTTTGCGTTATTTTCGAACACTTTATATCAACAGCTTGAGTTGTGAGATAAATGGCTGAATTATACAACCTAGACTATCAAAAGATAGAGAAAATGCTACCTATATCAAATGAGATGTACTCGAGCTCTGTGCAATAATTCATTTGATTTGTATGAGAACTTTACAAACTGAGTCTAGACTTGGGACTCTGTTGAGACATTTTTTTTTATAATGCAAATAAAAATTAAAATAATTGAAGCACAGCGCTCTAAGACGCTCTCATTTTGTAGAGCAACATTTTGCCTATATTTTAATAGGTTATACTACATAATTCAGCCTTCTATTTCATAACTCAAGCTATTAATATAAAAGTGTTCGAGAATAACGAAAAAAAGCTCGGTACATGCGTAATTATGAACATAGGCTGACGCAAAAAAATCACCTGAAATTGTATGATTATTAAAGAAAGTATTCTATTATACGGCTTGGGAGAACAGAGAAACATAAAAAAAAAAGACTTAAATTTTATCGTCCTGTCCTTTTATTGACAGAAAAAGAAATGAATAAAACTGTGTTGAAAAAAGAACCCTTGATAATTAATACTGGTAGAAACACTACTTTTTACAAATTTTAGAATTTCAAAGGAGATTCGGATAGAATATCAGATGTCTTAGCGTTTTTTTTTTTATCAAAGTGATGTACATGTTCATCTAACAGAATATACAATTAATCAACTTTGATTTTTATTAACAGTCGAACATAGTTTAATTGCTCAAGTTACATAAATCTATAGGTCTTTTTTTACTGTCATTAAAAGTTTAAAACATTTCATAACAAAGAAATAATTGTCAAAAAAAAACAGACACAATCAAAATTGGATCTACTATTCTACTATAAAAAAAAAAGTATCCTATACAAAAAATATGTATTATGATTAGAAGCTATAAAAATTAGCTTATCAGAAAAGTATTTATTTTATTAATTGATTAAATAATACTAAACAACATCGATTATAAAATCCATTTGAAATAGATTTTTTTTCTGTATATGTTTACTGATAAGACAGATTGATTTTGTTTTCTTTTAATGCATATCGATTATTCAAAAATATTTTTAGAATCTATCAATTTTTATTAGAGATCAATTAAAAACCTTCATTTTGAAAAGTTGAATTTTAAAGTTTTATAATTCTAGAGAGATATTATCAAAACAAACTTGAGATGAAGTTTCATTGATTTCTGTTTTCTCATATATCAGAATTTTAAGTAATTAACTTTTTTATTTTTCCTAATTTTTCATTATAATGGTACAATTCTTCATTCGGATTTTCTCTTCGTAGATTAGCCCATGATGAAAATCCACTAGTTGATAAAAGTAATGTTTGACATTCGCCTAAAAGATAAAAATCGGCTATGACTTTAACAAATCCATCACATATAGTTGGTGATCGTCGATCAAATCTATCAATATGTAAAATAGGGCCAACAATCGACATCGATGAGTTTGGATAATGACGTAAAATATCTGATACAGCTTGACTACTATCAGATGTAACAAAAATAAGTGATGAAGATTTGTTTAATAAATAATTATCAACAAAGTCTATCATTGATTTTGTTGTATTTTCTCGAGCTGTAAACGCAACATCCAATGGATTTGTTGGATTTTTACCAATACGAATATGCAAACAAATAAGATGTCGATGACGAGAGTTAATTAATATAGAATCAACTCGATTACGAACAGCAATAGAAGGCTTGAAAAGAAGCTCGAAAAGAAAAGCAACAAATATTTGCGTTGTAGCTTGCGATATAGGTATTTGACCAAGTAACTGTTGAGTTTTATTTAACATATAAATATTGTGAAGTGCTGGTGTCATATAATCGCTATTAGCTGATATAATTATATCATCATATGATGACCAAACTTTAACGAAATCGTTTGATTTAATCATATTTGATATATTATTTCGATATGCTTTTTGCCATGAAGGCATCGTATTAATATACAAACGAGTTCGATTTTTCGATTTATTGTGTTTAACATATGTCCAATTAACAAAATTAGGTTCAACTACTTTTAAAATATCACAAGGATAATTCATATCAATCATAAAATGACGATCAGTTAATAAAGCAAGAATATAAGCAGATGTAATACCACGTAATCGATCACCCCAACCACCACAAAATGATGTACAAGAATAAATTATTGTTTTATTTGATAAATGATTCGTTTTAAATGCTGTCAAATTTAATAATAAATTATATTTTTTATATAATCTACTTAGACGTACATTATTTCGAGTTACTAATGTCCATGGTTTTGATATAGTTATTTGAACTTGAGAAATTAATTTTGAATTAATATTAGTCACAAAGAAGATTAGTATCGGTATCCATGAAATACTAATAATAATCATCAGAATAAAACGCCAACTCATGATGGTAATAAAAAAAATAAATATACGAAAAAAAATGAATGCGTCTATTCTACTTTGCAAAGACAGTAAGATAATTGCAAAACGAGATGAAAATTACATATAACTATGCTTGCAATTCTTTTTTCGTTCGCTCGTGTCATTTATTGTCCAAATACTTTGAAAGAAACTTATTTTATGACATAACTCTTCGTATACGATTGGTTTCTTTTTGCAAAGAAAATACTCTGTACCTGCTTTTGGCACGAATGTATTCTTTTTTTTTATGGAAGTGGCTATGTACACTCGAGTACACATAGCCAGTCAGCTATATGCACTCAAGTAGGTATTATCAACTAGTTACTAAATATTGAGATATATTATAGCCATATATGTACTTCATAATTAACATGAGTAAAATTTATTAATTTATTAATAATTTTACTCTATTTATTTATTGTAAAATTCAAATAGAGTATAAAACAAGTATTAATATCAAATAAATATAAAAGAAAAAGTTAATTCAAATAAAAATCAACTCATTTAGAAATATTTCTAGCGCTTGATCTCTTAGATTTTGAACGAAATGGTTGCATTTTATTATTTTCAATACATCGGACGGCAATTATATTGATGCCAGTGCTTTTCTTCTCTATTAATTGTGCCTTCTTTCTCTATTAATAATTTATAGAACGAAAGATTCTACTTTTTCTTGATTAATTAGCTTACAAAATGGGAAATTGAAAAACATAAAATTCCAATTAGCTTTCAATCTGGAACGAGATATCCTTTTTTCAAGACCCATTGATTAATCCTCACTAAAGAATAAGAATTAAAACAAGATTATAAACTGAGATTCTTTCAAGATGAGAAAAAATAGCTGTCAAAATTAGAGATACAATCAGAAACGAATGTAAAAGAAAATTTTTTCGTTATTCTTTTATAAAAAGATATTTTCGGATGATTAATGTTAGTTATATTGAAAATAACGAAAATACAACGATTTCCTTCATATGATGTCTTCGGAGAATATCCCCGGAAACTCGATTATGTCCTAGGGGTAAGAGGTAGATAGATATGTAGATATAGGAGGTATAGGAGATATAGGAGGTATAGGAGGTATAGGAGATATAGGAGATATAGGAGATATAGGAGATATAGGAGATATAGGAGATATAGGAGATATAAGAGATATAGGAGGTATAGGAGATA